AAGGGTTTCTAACCTAATTAGAGTTAAATCTGCTTTAAGTCTAGAATTTTTAAAATTTCCTCAGAAACCTTCATCCTTGGATTTTTCTGAGCTATTTGGAGTTGGACTTTCTGGTGTGCCTTGGATCAGCGTCCTACTAATGAATAGTGAGACTAAGTGGAGTATAAACATGATAGAATTAAAGATCTTTCCTCTTGTGGCTCAAAGCAAACGCTAATCACAGCCCTACCATTGTGAACCATCTGCAGATTAAACGGCTCTCCTTCATAGACGTCATTGAGGTGTTTCATGGCGATGATCAGGCACAGCTCCAAGATGGACAGACCTACAGAAAAGAGCATTTTAGATCTGATCCGGGTCGGAAATTCTGGGTGACAGTCGGTTGGGCTGTTTTACCGTGGAGCATGTTTGCCTGAGCGTCGGCCAGACACGAGCGACTGGCGTCCAGGAGGTCAGCCGGTGTGATGACTGGTTTAGCAACTGAGACCCGGCTCAAGCACAACATCTAAAGGGAAATTATTAAGTTAGGAAGTTTCCTTCTTTATGGATCCATGCATGTTAAGGAGGGTCATCTCACCAGCAGCATGTGCAAGGAGCGGAAGTCCTTACTAGAGTTGAAGTGTCTTCGCAGGACGTCCTCTACCGACTTGTCTTCACAGAGAGTCTGCAGAAGAAGACGGATGAAAGATCAAGAGCTAGAAAACCCGTTTCTGTTTCAGGGGTGAAGCTTATGGGCTCACAGCGACGGCGGCGTTCCACTCCCGGACAAACTTTCCGTCGGGGAAGTCGTCCGGCAGGCTGAGCTGGGTTTGGACCCGCGCCACGTACTGAGGGAAGGTCAGGGAGCTCAGCAGGTGGATCTGACGGTGGGAAAACCGCGACTTTACCCGCTTCTCCAACAGTTCCAGCACATCCTGGTGAGAAACCACAAATAAAATGTGTTGCAAGTACACGGTTCGATCCTCACAGCCTCAACTCTGCGTCCCTGAGCAAGACCCTTAACCCCACACTGCTCCCCAGGCGCCGCACAATGGCAGCCCACTGCTCCCCAAGAGGATGGGTTAAATGCAGAGGTACATTTTATCCAATGTGGGAATCAATGAAGTTAAATTATTATTAAATAAAAACCAGCAGCATGTTTTACACCACTGTTGGAAATTTTATTTTGTATAGAGGAACATTTTAAACCCATTCTATAGAGCTTTGTTTTCTTACAGAACTTTATTAAAGGGATATTTACGGAAGAGGATTAGGGCCACTGGAAAAAAGTTGATTTTTGATTTTTATTTCAGTTTACCATGGGAAAAACGTCAGAATTCTGACTTTATTCTAAGAATTCTGACTTT